AATTCATAGCCAACCAATGATTCTTCATATGCCGGAGATTTTCTCTTGCTTTCTCCTACGACAGTATTCTTGTTAAACAAACCGAACTGAACAACCTCCACGATCTCACGTTCACTCAAGAATAAGAGGATTAGGATCTAATTTTAACTGTTCAATCATCCCATCAAGAACAATCGAAACTTTATCACCAACATGTTGCTTGACAGCTTCGGCAAGGAACTCATGAACAACGCCATCAACTTCGATCCAACTGCAACCGGGTGTTTTCTTGATCCTTTGATCTCTCATCATCTTCATCACCCTTAAAGCATCAAACCACATGTTTTTCGACCGATACATATTCCAAAGGAGAACATACACCGAATCATCATATGGTTCCAGTTCAAGTATTTTCTTCCCAAATAATTCAGCCAATTCTAAATTCCTGTGTTCCAAACAAGCCCCTAAAAGCGATCTCCAGATAATGGCATCTGGCTTCAGAGGCATCCCTTCAATCAGCCTGATGGCTTTCTCTAAATGTCCTGCCCGGACAAAAAGATCAACCATGCACCCAAAATGCTCGATTCGGGGTTTCATTTTGTAACTATTCATAAAGCTGTCAAATAGTCTCTCTCCATCATCAACTAATCCTGCATGGCTGCATGCGGATAAAACTGACAGAAACGTAACTTCATTCGGGATGAAGCCGGATCTCACCATTGAGTCAAAAACCACAAGGGCATGTTTACCTTTTCCGTTTAGTGCCAGACCAGAAATCATAGTGGTCCATGAAAACAAATCTTTTCTCCTCATTCTATCAAAGAGCTTCAAAGCCGAATCAAGATTGCCGCTTTTTCCATACATATCTAAAATCCCATTATTCACAGAAACATCCGAAGCAAACCCGGCTCGTTTGTTAACGTACCCATGAAGAGAACTTCCTAAATGAAGGGCCCCAATATCCGCACAACCAGAAAGCACTGCCACAATGGTAACGGTAGTGGCATCACAGTGTTCTCCAACTTCATCACGCATCATCTTCGTGAACAACTCTAATCCTTCAATTGCATTCTTCTTACGCACATGACCTACAATCATCGCTGTCCAAGAAACCACATTTCTTTGAGGCATTTTGTCGAACACTGCCTTGGCAGATTTCATATCACCACTCAGTATATGCCCATTGAGCAAGCTAGTCCAAATGGCGACATCCCTGAAATTTGTGTTACTAAACACTCGCTCAGCTAATCCAACTCTGTTATTCTTACCATACATGTCGATAAGCGCGTTGTGCACGCTGGGCCTTGGATTCGGAAGGTACTTGTACACCAGCCCGTGGACTGCTCTTCCATCTCTTAAATTCTTTGAGCGCGCGCATGCCGAGAGAGCTGCGACTATGGAATGGGAGTCGGGTTTCGCAAAATCGGACGATATTAGCTTGGAGAATACGATTAAGGCCTTGGTGGGCTGTTTACTATTGAGGTAAAGGTGCTGGAGAGAGTTCCATAAGCCCACATCTGGGCCTGGAAATAGGTCGAATAATCTCCGGGCTTCAACTGGTTTGTTAAGCTTCGCATACGCATTGAGCAGCATGCAGGCGGAGTTATGCTGAAAGTCTCCTATCCTCAAGGAGTGAGCTAGGATTTGGTTGAGAAGATTGAGGTGGCTTCCGCATTTTTCGAGTAGGTTCTTGATTTGAATATGCGTCATCCAATTGATCACAAGTTGTTTGTGTGGTTTGTTCTTTAAGGGTTTAAGCTGAGAGATGCCATTTTTACCGCCATTTTGTTATGAACTTGGAGAACTTTTGAAGTTTTGTATAATTAATTTGTAAGTTTTAAGAGAGGGGGAGATTAGAGACGCGACTGTAATGAGAGAGAGAGAGTAAAATGTGAGGAAGATCAGATCAAAATTAAGCTCACGTGTCTGCATCTTATAGGTAACAAGTGGGTCCCAGCACTTAGGCCGAATAATATTTTCTACCAGACCTAATAACAACATATATATTAAATCGGCCCAAAATGCTATAACTATACTAGGCCCAGCTATCACTATGTAAATCCCAC